TTCAGCCGCTGATATCTATCTTCACTCTGCAGAAAAACACGAGTCTGTGGAGAAGGAAGCTCTCATGTCTGAGCTCAAAATGCTGACTCACATCGGCCAGCACGCCAACATCGTTAACCTGCTCGGCGCATGCACAGAGACAGGTATGTTTGCAGTCTTCTGATGAGTTGAATAGCAATTAGATGCTTGCAATGCAACGTTATGGTAATAAAAGAAAAATCTCTCTGTAGGACCCGTATACCTGATTTTCCAATATTGCTGTTATGGAGACCTGCTGAACTACCTGAAGAAGAGCGGTGATCGCTATCACAAGTCTGTGACTGATGCCTTCAGCAGGGACCGTTTCAGCAGCCTGTATAGCAACCTGCAACCCAAGAAAAACTCCAAGTAAGAATAAAAAAAAGAAACAGGAGGAAGTTTGTATTATTTATACTATGTACATGCTTTTTTTTGTGGCAAGTCAAAGCCTCACTGGATAAAGTGCATCAGCATTATATCATTTAATGTTTGTTTTCAGTGAGCTGGTAACAGCAACAGATAACTACATGCCCATGCATGGCGTCACCACCAGGGGGCAGGAGGACATCGCTCTCATCACCATCAGCTCCAACGACATGGAAGGTGAAACGCCACATCCAGAAACGGAGTGGATAAATAAGAATGTGTCATGATTTAAATGGATTTGTAATTAAAACGAGGTTTTGCCAAATCCAGAGATGTACGAGAGTGAAGACGATCAGATGGAGCAGCAGGCCCTCACCTTTGACGATCTGCTCAGTTTTGCCTTTCAAGTGGCCAAAGGGATGGAGTTCCTCTCCGCCAAGAATGTAAGAGACAAGCTCTTCACTTGACTCAGTGAAATTAGATGCAAGCCACACTTCTCAGATTGGTATTTGTAAAGGACGCTAACGTTATTGTTATTATTATTATTAAAAGGATCAGTGGTGTATAAATTCAACAACCGCTTCATAAGAGCAAAACTAAATTTCATCTGGTTTGGTGAGTGATGTAAAAGTCAAGTTAACGATTGCTGTATGCCGTCTGTTTTTAGTGCATCCACCGAGATCTAGCGGCTCGAAACGTGTTGGTAACAAAAGGCCGGCTGGTGAAAATTGGAGACTTTGGGCTGGCTCGAGACATCGACAATGATTCCAACTATGTTGTGAGAGGAAACGTATGTGATCTGATATTAATCTTACTTTATAACATCAGTGTGTCCAGTCTTATTTCTATTTACTTTATAATGGTGGTGTTTTTTTGTTGTTGTTTTTTTTAGGTGCGTTTGCCAGTTAAGTGGATGGCTCCAGAGAGCATCTTTCAGGGGATGTACACCATGAAGAGTGACGTCTGGGCTTATGGCATTCTGCTCTGGGAGATTTTCTCACTCGGTACTTTTCACAGAAGATCACTGAAGCAACACATTTTGACCGCACGTAAAGCTTTTACATTGTATTCAAAATACACTCTTTGCTTCCAGGCGTCACTCCGTATCCAGGTGTCAAAGTGGATCACACGTTCTACTCAATGATTGAGAGAGGATTTAAGATGGAGTGTCCATACTATGCCAACGATTCTGTGTAAGTGTCTTTACGCTGGACTCTATCTATCAGTCAGCCATGATAGCTGATTTTATAATCTAAGGTTCAAAGCTTTTCCTTCCACTTAACTTCTTTTCTTGCCAATATGCAGGTATGGTATCATGTGCAAGTGCTGGGCTCTGGATCCTAACAACCGACCATCTTTTTCCAAGTTAGTGGACTTCATGAGTGGCCAGCTGATGGACATGGAGGAAAAGGTATGAAGCAGCAGAGAAAAATCAAGTGATTTTCACTTGATTTCCCTTTTATTGTCAACAATTTTATGCTTCTGCGCAATCTCCCTTTGTGCTTTTTTTTTAATTATTTTTTTTGTTTTTAGCTCTACCAGATCATGCAAGACCATGATTTCAGCGACTATCAGAATGCATCGACCATTGGGGACATTTCAGCACTGGTAAAAGAAAGCGAAACCAAGACAGCAGCAGCCAATGACTACTGCAAAGCCAACCAGAGAGAGGAAAGCCAAGCTGAGGCATTAAAGTCAGAGGATGCAGGTGAAGACGAGGAGAAGGAGCCTCTGAAGCCGTCTAATGGAGAGTGACCTTCAACTCAAGCTAATTTATCTACGGAATATATAACAATCTATCTATTCTACTCATCATATCATATATCATCAAAGTAATATACTGGCTTTATATTCTTTCACAAATATTATGAGCTTTTTAGATTTATATTTGCTTGATTTAGCATTAATTTATGTACCGGTACATAAGAGATCGTAAGTCTCCTCAGTGCAAAACTGCA